TTTTCTTGACCGCTGTCTCTCTAGTGCTTGGAAAAGTGCCTCTCATACAGTAGGAACTCAGCAACATTGTTGAAAGGTTTTTGTTGAATACTTCTACCTTAAATGTTATCTTATTCTGACATAAAGTTGCACATCTCCAATTTTCTTCTTTCTTTTCTATGCTATAGTTCAGTTTATAGAGCCACTGTCTTCCCTCCCTACAAGCTAGAAATGTTGAGTCAATAACAACTTGAAACGCTGGCTGCCCCTCCTTCTTTAAATGCTACAGATTCTCTCTCCCACTTACATCTCTCTCAGATTTACTCCCCTCTACAACTCCATCGCCGCTTCTTCAGTTCAGGCTCTCACTGGATCTACACTGCCCAAGGGATAAAGTTCATGTTCCTGAACCTGACAAATTATAAGGCTCCCTTCCCATCTGATCGGGTCCCACTTTTACACCACATTCCCTGCTCTCCATTGTACCCTGTTCTCGATCCATCAGCCTAGTTTCCTCAGTTAGCATGCTTTTTGAGCTTTTACTACTTTTCATAATATCCACTCTACAGGAAATATCCTCCGCGCTCTTCAAGGAACAATTCCTTAGTCATTTTACAAGGCCCACCTCAAGTAATACTTCTATAAAGTCATCAAAATGACAGCAGCAAACAACTACTAAGAGAGCCCTGGTGGTCTAGTGGTTAAGATTCAGCGCTCTCCCTGTCACAGCCTGGGGTTGTTTCCCAGTCAGGGAAACACATCACCCACCTGTCATACTGCCATGGCTGCACGTTGCTGTGATGCTGAAAGCCATGCCACCTGTATTTCAAATGCCCGCAAGTTACCTGTGGTGGCAGGTTTTAGTGGGACTTCCAGACTAAGACAAACTAGGAAAAAGGACCTGGCCACCCACTTCCACAAAACTGGCCATGAGAACCCGATGAATAGCAGTGGAGCATTGTCTGATACAGTGCCGGAAGGTGAGAGGATGGCGCAAAAACACCAGGCAGGGTTCTGCTTTGTTGTCCAGAGGGTCACTAGGAGTCGGAATCCACTCAACAGTATTACCAACAGCAAAACAACTACCGAGTGCTTATTATGATCCAGATAACTTACTTGCATTGTATCATTTAATCCTTAAATAAGCGTATTAGAAAGCTACTAATAATTTCCCCAAATTATACATGATAAAATGAGACTAAAAGAAGTCAGGAAACATGCCATAGGTCACGGACTTAATAAGCAGAGGAGCTAGGATTTGATCTTAGGTCTAATTCCAAAGCCTAAATGACAAAACTGTAAATGAACAGCTGAAATGACCTTGAAACGAGTATTCTGAAATTTTAATTTTACTGTGAGATAGGAACTATGAACCACAAACTCTAAGTAAGCAGCAGCTACTGTACAACTACCCAGGTAATAAATCAAGAAATTCATTCTAAAATATTATTCTAGTTTGCAGGAAAATTTTTGTGGGTGTATGTGTGTGATGAGAAAAAGCAACAATAATGCTATTATTGCCAATTGACAGCATATACAAAGTTATGGTCACGGTAAAACAACAGAGCCTTATATTTGCATGCCACGAAGCCCACGTAAAGGTCACCTGATATGTCCAACATGACCACTGGAATGTCACATCACTGCTACATTTCTACCCAATAATTATAACTTCCCTAGTCTTTGCCCTCCTTGGAAAATCTTCATTTCACTGACCTTTTCATTATGAGTTGCTTTGCTGGGTTTGCATACAGCATCCCACCCAAAGGTGACTTTGATGGAGCCTCTGAAGGTAGCCCCAGCAGGTCTTCATAGAAATGGCCCCAGGGTTGTCTCCAAAGTGGCCCTGCTTGAGTTGCCATGGTAAACACCCAGGCCAGATTGCTATATTCAGTTCTCTGCCAGGGTCGCCATGGTGACGGCAAAGGACGGCTCCTTAGAAGGACCTCACAAGGGCGCGTTTCCATGGTGACCCCATCCTGCATATTTCTAAGCAACTTCTCTTCAGTTGTTCTGTGACCAATCATAGCAGGTTCATTTTGAGAATGACCCTGACAGGCTTCTCCGAAAGATACTATCCTAACACAGAGGGATTTGGAAGTGAGGCTTGAAAAAAGTGCCATTCACAAATCATTAAAGTAGTCCTTCGACATTTTAGGAAGCATCTGTTTTGATGGGTAACAAAAACATACTTGCAATCTCTCTGTTAAATGTGGCTGTATCAAATCTTAATTAATTAAAACTCCCTTACAAAATATAATGTAGATAATTAACATTTCAAATTTCTCCATCTTACAACATAGCAGACCAGTAGGTAAAAAATACTTCAGAGTAGACAAGACACGCAAAAAAATGAAATCATAAATACACATGGATCACTAGGTTATAATGAGATATCAAGGAAATTTTTATAGAGCAAAAAGACAAAATATTTGCAAGTCAAATGAAAAAAAGAAATGTGTTTTTTAAGTTGAGTTGGGAAAGCCTAGCCATGTTTGGGCCCAAGCTATTTTTTTCCTGTGTTTTTGTGGTTGGAATAGTTCCCAACTACTCCTCCTTTCAATTTAAAATATGAATATAAGCCACTCTGAACAGATGCTTGGTTTTTAAGCCATTTTACTATTCTCCTGAAACTTTAAAATACTGTATTTTTTCCAGTATTTCATCAAGGGCAAAGTTGTATGTAATCACTCATTTCAGTATCTTTAAAAATTATTCAACAAATAAAAAAATTCTACAGTTCAAAAGACACAATTACAACTTCTGTACATGTGCCCACTCTTTTTTGTTCCTTCCAGTTGACTCTTTAAATTAAAAATACATTTATATTTTATATAGTTATTTATACATAATTATTAATATATTAATATTTATATATTATCATAAACATATATATATTCCTTATTGTATGGAAAAGGTTAATCTTGGGTTTCCTCTTTTTTTCTCCTCATCTTGAGGTAAAAGCAAAGACGACCTGCCCCTCGAGCCTTAGTTCCACTGGTTCTGCATTTTCTGTGTTTCTCTCCCACAGAGTCCATTCTCCTCCTCTGTCCACAGCAGCCCACTACTCCCCACTCACATTCCATTCAGGAGAATGAACTTGAGTTTGAAAAATAAACAGGGTCAAGAAAGATGAGGATAATTCATAGCCATTTTTTAGTGAAGTCTCACTGTTTTGCACAAAGTCTGAATTTGAGGAGGCTTCTTGCTTCTAGTCTTCAATATGTTTTTATGAATCAGAGTGGTCACTGCAATTTTCATTCACTCATTCGATAAATATTTATTGAGTGTCTACCATGTACCAGACACTGTTCAAGGGACTATGAACACTTCAGGGAATGGATAAAAAATTCCTGCCCTTAAGGTGCTTAGCTTATGAACAGAGGGAAACAGAAGGAAAGATAACATTTAAAAAACAGTAAGGAAATCGTATCTTATGTTAGAAAATGATTACAGTTAGGGAGCAAACTAAAGCTGGGAGGAGGAGGCATAGTCCCAAGCCAGGTTGGGATGGGGGACTATAACACTGCGGATTAACAGGAGGGGTTTCCAGGACTCCCCCACTCACCTGTCATAAGCGTACCAATATTGTACTCAATACTAATCTCAATCCTTAAATTAAGAAAAGATAAGGAAAGTCTTTTTCATGGAGCACTCAATGGAAGTTAACCAAAGTAACAATCAATTTTCCCCATGTTTACACTTGCTCTCTGAGGGGCAGCACGGTCTGCGGGAGGTCAGCCAGACCATCACCTCCAGTCCTGCTTCTGTTTCAAGAACTGCAGAAACTTGGGCAAGTTACTCCACCTTGCAAGCCTCCTCCTCAATTTTAAAATGAGAATAATAATTCCAATCTGATAATATTACTCTGAAAACATGCAAAGACAATATAATATAAATACTAAAATATTGTGGGTGATAATATAATGTCCAAAATTTGCTTTAGAACACTACAAAAAGAAAGTGCGAGTAGGGGGGAAGAGAGAGACGAGAAAAGTTGGGCAAAATGTTGCAAATTAATGAAGTCCAGTGACGGGTATATGAGTTCATTACATTATTGGATCTCTTCTTATGTTTGCAAATTTCCATTAAAAAGTTTTTTTGGGGGGTTTTTTTGGTGAGTAAGATTGGCCCTGAGCTAACATCTGTGCCAATCTTCTATTTTGTATGCGGGATGCCACTCAGGCATGGCTTGATGAGCAGTGCACAGGTCCACATCCGGGATCCGAATCGTGAACCCTGGGACACTAAGCGAAGTCTGTGAATTTAAACACTACGCCATGGGGTTGGCCCCAAAAAAGTATTTTAAGGAAAGGATTAAACTTGAAAACAAAGATTTTTAAAAACTTTTTACAATTTTTACAATTTAAAATTTTTACAATTACTAGAAAAAAGTGTAGAGGAACATCAACTTATTTTTTATAAATATCTTATAAAAGTAGCAAAAAGTAGATTTATTTAATGAGCACTTACTAACCTTCAGGAACGACACTAGGTACTTTCCATACCTTCTTCTAACACTCTAATTAAAAAAATCAACTTCACGCTTTACTCATCATAAGAGACAACAGAAGACAGAGAGGAAGAAAAGCAACATTGTTAAGCTTGAAGACTCACTTGGTACTCAATGTACAAAATTTTTGGAAAAAATTTTAGTACCATTTGCTTAATGGTTGAAAACAAGCATATAACGGAGCTCTACGTTGCTAATAAAAATTTTAGACAATGAGGGGTCAGCCCGGTGGTGCAGGGGTTAAGTTCACATGTTCTGCTTCCGCGACCCGGGCTTCACCAGTTTGGATCCCGGGTGCCGGCACGGCATCACTTGGCAAGCTGTGCTGTGGCAGGTGTCCCATATATAAAGTAGAGGAAGATGGGCACGGATGTTAGCTCAGGGCCAGTCTTCCTCAGTGGAAAGAGTCGGATTGGCAGCAGTTAGCTCAGGGCTAATCTTCCTCAAAAAAAAAAAAATTTTAGACAATGAATTCTATATGATTATATCAAGAAACTTAGAAACTTACCAGATCAGTATCTGCCTTTTTAGAAGTCAAAGCTTCAACTTTGGAATCCAGTTCTGCTTGTATTTGGTCTCTTCTTTTCATAACACCCTTCATAATAAAACACAAGGATGAAATAGGTACTTAGTTTTAATAATCTTTGTATAACAAAAATATTCACTCCAGAATATAAATAGCATCTCTTCCCCAGGCCATCAGTCATTTGGGGATACAATGACTTAAAAAACATCTCTAATCTCTAAAAGCTAAACCAAGAGCAAGTATCTAAGAAATTTTTTTCATAAATATCTCAATTAGTTTTCCTAAAGGATATCTTACTGTTTTAAGTATTCGGTGTACAATTTTTGATGGAACATTCTAGACATGTACAGTTCTTCCAAAAGAGCAAAGAACAAAACAAATAAACAAAAAGATCAGTGGGAGCACTGAAAATGTATGTCATGGTATAAACTGGTTGCAGTTGGGAGGTCAGACAGGCCACACCCCTGAGAATATCCACAATGAGCAGCAGCCCTCTTATCCCACTCCGTAAGCATTCATCAAACAGCCAATTACAGTGGGGAATCAGAAAAGTGAAGTGTGTATCCACATCTTAAGATTTGATTTTAGCTTCAAATATATAAATATTAATCAATTAGCTAAGCTTTTGATGAGAAATCATGGCTTCTTGTCTGACTGACCGAAGTTCCATCTTGTTTTCTTGAATAACCATGATTTCATGTTTCAGTGTCTTTAGACTTAAAACACCCTTGTGAATTGAGTGCAGAATTCATGTGTATGTTTTATAACATTTGCCAGTCTTTTACAATGCTCTTTCCCTTGGTGGCTCACTTTCCTTCCAAGACACTCTCCTTAGGCTTTGTAGACACAAGGGCTCTTTATGGGTACTCATCTTTCCCTGTTTTCACAGTACTAATTAAATAATGAAATTGTAATGATGAACATAAGTGGCCTAAACAGATTAAGGAAAAAAATAAAACTAACTCTGGGTAGCAAACAATTCAACCATGGAGAGAAGAAGTACAGGACATATGGGACAGAGGCCTTAATGAGGGAGAGGTCTTTTGGGTGTTTCCAGAGGAAGGGAAAAACCTAGACACAAACCAATTAAACGGAGGTCAGAAAAGACGGCTCTGTAGTATTTGAGGGAAAACTGCACATTAAAAATAAAAAGCATTCTGAAAACTACTCAGTTTAGTTTTATTTCTGGTGGAATTCCTCTTAAAATATTCAAAAGAGATTACCATTTCTCCCATTAGAAAATTCAACTAACTATCACAAATTCTTTTATATTTGCTTCAATGTTTAATTGCCACTAATGTCAGGAACCCCTTCCTTTCTCTAACTCGAGGACACATACTAAATTGAGTCCCATTTATTTAAGGTCTTTCCATAAATATGAAGTACAGTGCTTCATATAGGTAGAAATATTTTAAGTAAGAGGGTGCTTCAAAAGACGACTAGTAAAAATTAAACAAATTTAATCATTTTCTCATTTTCATTATTTTAGCTCACATTGAAGAAAACAGTCCAATATCAAACAGAAGCAGAACTGCAATGTAAATGCTACAGATTATACCGTAGAAGTCTATAAAATCATACAACCAAATGAGGACCTATTAAATAATTCTTTCTGGTTGCTATTATCATTTTCCCACACCCGTAATGACACATGATTTAAACTGCATAATTTCCATCTTGACATAATAAAGAGCAAAATATATCTAATTAAAGGGAAAGAATATACTATTTTTAGTGATATAAATCAGATCTCTTGAACAGCCACACAAGGGGGAGATCGATAATGAAGTCACACAATGGAATGCAGCCAAGGGAACTGAGGGAGACAAGGAGGAGGCTCCCCGGCAGCGAAACAGTCCAGGTCTTGGGGAAGCAAGAAGGGCTTGTTTAAAGGGGCACTCCGATAAAGTCAAGTAACAGCAGAAACCTGAAATAGCCCCAAAATATTTAATGACTCTGTGAAAGAAAAACCTAAACACAATAAACATGAAGGAGGCACATCTAATGTTGAAAGGCCAAGAGAGTTTTTCTTACCAAGACAGAAGCAAAACTAAACAGCAAAAATCAAGAGTATATGAAAAGCAGAGCTGGCCCGGTGGTGTAGTGGTTAAGTTCAGTGCATTCTGCTTCAGCAGCCTGGGTTTGTGGGTCCAGATCCCAGGTGCAGACCTACACACCACTCATAAACCATGCTGTGGTGGTGACCCACATACAAAATAGAGGCAGACTGGCACAGATGTTAGCTCATGGCTAATCTTCCTCAAGCAAAAAAAGAGGAAGATAGGCAACAGATGTTAGCTCAGGGCAAATCTTCCTCAGCAAAATAAAAAAAAAGTACATGAAAAGAGAAACCAGACAAGGCTCCAATTATAAACGGCAAAAGAAATGGGCTATATCTGAAGGACAGCTGACACCTTCCCCCACCGCCAGCCTAACACATCAGAAACCTGAGTGTATCAGTTTATGCAAGGTACTGTGAGCAGAGGGGAATGCTGGATGAAAACATCAGCTTTGCAGAGAGCACTGTTAAATTCCAAACATCTGGAAACTTTAACTTGAACTGAGGAGGTTAAATGCAAAACTTTGATCTAAGAGGAATAAAAGCCTTTTCAAACAGTGAAAGAAAAACCACTTTAATTTGAAAGATTTCTTTTTAGAAGCATCCAGAAGGCAGAACAAACATCAAGATCCCACTCAAGTACTTTCTACATAATGATACTAAATATATTGTCAAATCAAATGTACCTAGAAGCGGGAAAGCAACTCTTTCATGAAAAGACTTTTCTAAAGTGCTAAAAATTTTTAAAGTAAAATTTTAAAAGGTTGAAAAAACTAATAATATTCTCTATATAAATCTTGACTGAGGATGCTTCAAATACATATAACCTCAGAAATTGTCATTGCTGTTGAATAGTCCTGTCTTTTATTAATGATTTCTTCTACTTAACTCATTCATGCAGTGAACAAATATTTATGGAGCATCTATATGCAAAGCATCCTGCTAAGATAGGAAGATAGTGGTTAAAAAACAGAAACAGACATTGCCTTTATAAAGCTTATAATTAGGTCAAGGACTAATGTAAAAGTATAATTAGGTGTTCTTACCATTAATATTTCACTATAAAGCACATACTCATGTACAACAGGAAGCAGAGCCTCTGAGAGTCCAGACATCCGTTTTTCAGTGGCTTTACAGCATTTGTCAACGCAGCTGGCGACACTTTTTAGAGTATCAACCAGATCTTCTTCTGTTGCCGACCACAGAATATGAACTGGGCCATATTCTTTCATTTCATCAAAATATTCTAAAAAAAAATTAAGTTCTTCAATTTATAGAAGTTTTCAAAATCCCTATATTATAGATAGCAAGAAAGGACATTATTTTTTCTCATCGTGCACCTGTTCCTATACATAAATATAAGAAAATGGATATGCTCTTTCATCAAATTGACTGATCATCCCAGTCTGCTCAGGTCAGTCCTTGAATGAATACTGCCAAGATGTAATCAATAATAGCATCCTTTTTCATTCTCAAAAGCGTCCTGGCTTGGAAGATAAATTATATGATCACTATATCTCTCATGGACTTCTGCCTACCAAAAAAATCACACCTGAGCGCCTTATAGGCAACATGACCTAAACATAACTTGTCTTCTTTCTCCCCTTCTCCTGATTACATATCCTACTTAATGGTACTTGCCTCCAGCGACCTAAGCAAAAAACCTGGGTGTCATTCTAGACTCATACCTGCATAAAGCCAACCCCCAATTCTAATATTTCTTAATCTTTATCTTCCTTTCTTGCTTCCTCCCTCCCTTCCTTTCTTTCTTTCTACCCACTCCTTCATCCATCCACCCACTTATCTACCTACCTACCTATCTATCTATCTATCCTCACTTCCACTATCATCAGCATCTCTAACCTACATTACTATAAGGGACTTCTAACTATTCTCCCTCTTTTAATTTTTGTCACAGTATATAAACATTGAAGCTTCTTAGCTAAATTAGAAAGTCCTTTATGATCAGTCCCTATCTTGCCTCTCCAGGTCCAACTCTTCAGATTCACTCCCAAAGACATTTTAATTACAGCCAAAATTATTGCTCATTCATGACTTCTAACTCAAACGTTGTCAATATCCCTTTGCCTTGCCCTCCACCATTTCTATCATACGACAAACTACATCTAATCCTTTAAATCCTAGCACAAATAAGTCTCTTCTGATTCTGTTCTAAAGGATTCTTAGATGCTTTGTTCTCAATGAGCCTATTATAATTTTATACTTCTATTAAAGCCTATCATAATTTTATACTTCTTTATCTCACTCTATTATAATTGCTTGCATAACTCACATACTCCCAGGCCATATGCTCCTTAAAACAGGGGCTAAGTCTGATTATTTTTTTATGTCAAAGCCCGATACATAATGTGCTCAATAAATATTTTCATATCAATGAAAGAATGAATGAGCCACAAAAGACTACTCAATGCTTGATAAGCAATTTATTCAAAAATTTGGATTTCATTATAAAATCTGAATATTTTTACATTTTTGCTTTCACACTATCAACTTTCAATGAGAGATAGCTTTATATCATAGAGATTGTATAAGCAGGAAGCATTTTTTGTCTAATATCCATACAAATACAATGAAATTCTCTGTATTTAATCATCTTACTACTCATTAGCATTAGTTGAAATATGTGACATTGCCCTAAGTTAAACTATTAAAATTTCAAAAGTTTGCATGATCAAGTAAACTGAAAAAGATTTTAAAAAATTAAAAACAAAGGACATATTAGTTGTCACCTAATGAAGCTATTAGATTTAATGACCACCAGAGCCCTTACAAATTGTACTTTCCTGATCTACGCCTATCCTTTATGGTAAATAATGGCCAGACTAAACTAATATTTCTAGAAAGGAAAATGTTCTTTTTTATTTCTTTTCTCAATTTGTATATATATTAATATGTATCATTAAACCTGTGCGATAATTATTTTTATAGAACGATCTTCCCTAAAATCCTAAACTGTGCTTACCTAGCACTCAAAGCACATTTGTAAGCAAACACTTAATGAGTTGCACTGTAATTTGTGTGTCACTATATCTGTTCCCCCAACTAGACTGTTGAGCTCAAGGACCGGTACCATCTTATTCCTCTTTGAATCTTCAGCACAGAGAAGCAGCACAACATGTGGTCAATACAGATTTGCCACATAAACTGGGGAACACAAAATAAAACACAGTAAAAGAAGAAAACTGAATTGAAAAAACATAGAAACCTCTAATTATGATCATCAAATTCTTCACGATTTGAATATGAATGAAATGCCCTCTATAAGACTCCCAATGCTACAAAAGAAAACATTCCACCATTTTGAATGGAATCTTGACAAGTCGGCTTCACATTCTAAAGACTAAGAAATCCCTCAAGTTTGGGCCAATGGCAATTACTCCCTGAAAATGAGAGGTCAAATTTATAAAGTCTATTACAAAATCCAGTTTTCCTTCAAAGCATTTCACAAACATTAGACTACATCCAAGATTTTAAAATTATTCCCCTGCACAGCAAATATAAGGCATATTGATATCTGATAAAACTCTTAAGTGTTAAGAGTTTCCAGTGGCTTCTTTGAATTGCTATCCCACTTAAATATACATCAAGAATCTACTTAACAGAATTAGGATCACAGAACTTAGTTAAAACAATTAGCTTCGTGAGATAAAAATAATGACAAATGGTAAATACAAGGACACCCAAGAAGGCTTAAAACAAATTACTAAACTATACTCAGTCACCACAATGACCTCATCTAATGTCAATGCATGGAAAAGGAAGATAGAGAAAAGGCAGTGCACATTCAGCAATAACAATTTTTTCTAAATCTCTCTTTTTTTTTAAGGAAGATTAGCCCTGAGCTAACATCTGCTGCCAATCCTCCTCTTTTTGATGAGGAAGACTGGCCCTGAGCTAACATCCATGCCCATCTTCCTCTACTTTATGTGTGGGATGCCTACCACAGCATGGCTTGTCAAGCAGTGCCATGTCCGCACCCGGGATCCGAACCTGCGAACCCTGCACCACTGAAGCAGAAGGTGCGAACTTAACTGCTGCACCACCAGGCGGGCCCCTAAATCTCTTTCCATAACCAATCAATGCTTGATAAAGTAAATTCTCCCACCACTGAATCTTATGTTCATTCATTGACTTTTTTAATCATTGGACAGATTTTAATTGAGCACTTACTATGTGTTAGGCACTATCAAGATATTAAAAATAAAACAAACCTTTTCCCTTTTTGTCCTGGTGGAACTTACAGTTTAATGGGGGACACAGATAATAAAACAATAAGCCATTAATGTAGGGATGTTAAGTTGTTCATCTCTAAAAGCAATTTATATTAGGAAATATATTTTCTAACTTAGCCATCTATTTTTAATGTAGGTAAACGCAATTAGAAAATTAGCAAAAAGTCATCATGAAATTAGAAAAAAATCACAGAATGAAGTCTAATTTATAAACAAAAAGAAAAAAATAGAAAATAGGACAAGGAAATAGTGACAGAAAATAGGAAAAGGGCTCTATTTTCTAATATATAAATCTCTCCCCCATGCTTGAACAGACCTAATATAGAGTACTTGTCCTCCAAAAACTCCCTAGAAAATGTGGAAACCCTATTTCTTGAAACATCACTTCTTTGATTTTAACCAAAGGTCCATGTTGAACATTTCAGACCAACTTCATACAACTACATTCAAACTCTTCAGCTCAAGGCTCACTTTACCTGTATTATTCATAAACAGGAAAGAGACTAGCTGGTGATTGATTAAAGCAAATGGGGACTGTCCATGCCTACCTTCAAAATCATTTAGGAATTAGAAATTTTCACAATACATCTAGGCATAAGCCACATCTTAAAGGTGAAATTCTAACAATGTTGGCGATTCCTCATGTAAGGAGCTTGGAAGTTCCTACTTGGCCCCAAAAACAAGTAAAATGCTGAACAGACTGAAAAATCAACAACTTTTCATGGGTCTGTAAGAGAAGGGAAGACACAAGACAAACAGCTGCCCCCAAGACTGGAAAGACAGAGAGGTGAATACAAGGAATCCTGGCTTACTATAGCAGAGACTCAAGAGCAGACACCACTGCCGGAAGCAGCGCCGGGGGAGGGAGTGGAACTGTAATTGACGAATTACCAGAGGCTCGTGTAGACAACTCTGAGAGTTAAAAACTCCATGGGGATCCAACCATGGGGGACCCCACCATATTGTGAGATTTACCCCCAGGAGCTCAACTAGGTTCACACAGTAAATATCAAACAAAAACTCCTCCTGCAGGTAAAGGGAAAAATTAGCTATTTTGAAACAGCCAGCCACTATTCTTAACAAGGCCTGCCCTCAGGGGAAACTAGTTAACGAGGCATAACCTGCTGGGGTATTATCAGAGCCTAACTGACCCAGAGGAAGGCAAATACCCAACCCCAGTCCACTCTGGCCATCCTGTTCCAATTAAGGGGGAAGAAAAAAACTGAGAAATGTTTGTGAAGTTCACAGTCCAGAGGCATAGGCTCACCAAAAGACTGACACCTACTCATAGGACTATAGAACTCTTGCCCTCCCCCACACCTCACCACCACATCACTAAAGGCCTATTTACCGCAGTTCGTTTCACCTAATACAGCATGTCTGGCAATCAAAAAAGAAATTACAAGGCATATCAAACGACAAAAAACACAATTTCAAGAGACAGTGCTAAGATCAGAACCAGACATGACAGGGATGTTGGAGTTATCAGACCAGGAATTTAAAACAACTATGATTAATAAGCTAAGGCTCTAACGGATAAAGTAAACAGCGTGCAAGAACAGACGAGCACTGAAGAGAGACGGAAATTCTAAGAACCAAAAAGAAATGCTAACTTCATGTTGCCTGACTACACCATCAAATGTGAAAATCCATCAGAATTTGAACAACCAAAGTCACATTCAGTGACTCTACATACCCCTTTCTTCCTTGTAAATTCTCTGAGATATTTTATCTATCAAATTTATTTTCTGGCTAAACATTTCAATAAAGTTATTCATTTCCATGAACTCCTCTGGGCGGCTTTTAACTCCTCTCATTGACCATGCCACAGCTCTGACTGTCTGTCCCATCCTGCTCAGCAGTCCAGGTCCTTGCTTCTTGTGAGAAGAGAGTTCCTAGAAACAAACAAAAAAAAAATGACATAATTGTGGTGGAGAAAACAACAATTTTCCAAGACCCAACAACAAAAGGAAACCTAATTAGAAGAACAAAATAAAGATAATAAACATGTGCCGTATACATCTTTTTGTCACAATGCTGGTTTGAAGCAGATGAGTTCTATTAGGGTACAGTTCTCTCTCTAGTCTCAGTCTCCCTGATAATATTCCTTTCCAAAGTGCTCATGAAAAACATGTGGACACGTCTCCTCAGAGCATGGATCTTTGAAAGAACAAGGTTTAACAGAGGGACTCATGCTTAAGGAGATACTGGAGAAGATGAGAGGATGGTATGAGACGCCATCTAGATTCTATAACAGGAACTTAATGGAAAAATGATTGAGAGAAGGTTTCTCAGGGTCTAAACTACTCCCTTAAAAAAATTGGAAAACCTCATTAATTCTTTAGTTATACTGGGGGCCTAATATGTTCCAGGTACTAGACTCACATTTTCATATGCATAACTCACAGTAACACTATCAGGTAGGTCCTATTATTATCCTCATTTTACAGAAGGAAATAGAGGCACAGGAAGGTCAAGGAGTTTGCTCAAGATCCGAGAGCAATTAAGTGGTGGACAAGGATGGGAGCCCTGGCAGTCTGACTCCAGAGCCTTCACTGCTAAGCACGATCCTGTTTTGTCTTCTTCTTTTTTTTTTTTTTTAAAGATTTTATTTTTTCCTTTTTCTCCCCAAAGCCCCCCAGTACATAGTTGTGCATTCTTCGTTGTGGGTTCTTCTAGTTGTGGCACACTGCCTCAGCGTGGCCTGATGAGCAGTGCCATGTCGGAGCCCAGGATTGGAACCAACGAAACACTGGGCCGCCTGCAGTGGAGCGCACAAGCTCAACCACTCGGCCACGGGGCCAGCCCCTGCTTTGTCTTCTTAAAGTCACTAAAAGAGTTTGTAAATAGGTACTCCCTGGCCATAGCTCTTCAACCAACTGGAGTAGGTAACTGTGACAACACCTCCACTGGCTGGCTGGCTGTAGAGAAAGACTTCTAACAAGATATTTAACTAGCTGTTTCATAGTTAACCTAGGAGGGACAGCTACAGACTTGTAAAATGGAAGGAATGCTATAAAAGATACCCTATGAAAAGAATCCCTTCAGAAGGATGGCATACTAAAAAGGAACACCAAGAAGGAGGGCAAGGCATTCTGATGATGGTTGTAGCACTTATTGAAACATAGGTTTGGGATCAAATAAAAGTTGAAGAGTAACATACAAGAAAAAAATCTATAAATAACAATATTGACTACCAAATCCACAGATAAAAATATTATGTATTATTTACCCAAATATTAAATAACATATTATCTTCCTCCAGATTTTATTTCCTGAAGGTCTTACACAAAATAATACATACAAAGTAAGCTTGTTTATTTCCAAGTCAGTGTGATTTTGTATGTAAATAACAGATGCCATCCTTGACCAGGCTACACATGTGCTACATGTGCAACACAGGCAACATCCAGGAGTGCTATAGCATCATTTGATGGAGTAAGCATTATCAGAGAGAGCACAAGTCACAACTGGCAACTGTTGACTGTAGAGAATGTTTCTAACAGCTTCCAAGGTTCTGGAGTCAGGCCACAAATTCATTTCATGTAAGTCACAAAGGGCTTCCAGACACAGGACTATCGGTCAAGACTGAAATGAACCACTTTTTCACTTCTACCACTTTGGCAACAACTGAGAGAAATAAAACTCAACATTGGTCAGCAGTTGTTTAATATTTACTGTTTGTCCTATCCATTATCTTTCTTGGTGAGTTATATCTTCACAGGAGAAAAGAAAAAAGAAGAGGAACACATAAGGTTTCTGTATTAGAAATAAGACACCCCCCTCCATTAGGTAATTGAAGGAAAAGTAAGGAAATTGTATTATCTATCTATCCATCCATCCACCCATCCATCCATCCATCCATTTAATAAAGACTTTTATCCTAACTTGAAAAGCCCTGACTCATTATTACTCAAAACAGTGCCAATAAAAGAAATATAATTGTATATGTTCAGCATTGGCTATACACGCAAGGAGTAATCCTGACATTAAAAAACAAAGAAAAAACTGAGCTCCCAAAAGAAATATGAGTATGTATATGTGAGGAAGATACAAGATTTCCGTAATGTTTATATGTAGATTTGACATGGGGTTAAATCTGAAGGATATCTCTCTAATGTTTAAAAATCCATCTTAATTCAAAGACACCACTGCCCGATTTAGAAAGGTAGACAAGAGGAAGTGTACCACCTACTATGCATGTAGATACTAAAAGATTATAGGAGTATAAATCAAATTTCTTTACCCAAGTTTGTGCAGTAAGAAAAACTTTGAAGTCTTCATTGAATGTTAAAGTTGGATGATCAGCAATTCGGTTCAAAAATTTTTGCAGTGCCTTCCTGCGTGTCTCAATGAAGTCATCATTAAACCGTTCCACCATTCCTTTCACTATGAACTTTTCTGGCAATGGCTGAGGCAAGAAATTTTAAAAAGGTATCTGAACATTATGTGGCACAGGATTATAAGGAATTCCACACTTTTTCTTTTCGGAAGACTATTGGAACATGCGATCATTTCTTATAAAAACAATTTTTCAAAATTCACAGTGGGGCTGGAACCAAAAGCTATGAAATCTCAACATATAACAATAGTTTTAAAAAACAAATCTGTACATAGATTGAAAGTTTAAAAACAAATGTTTCTAAGATAAATGAATTACACTGAATTTAAAGGTCTGAAATTAGGTTTTAGGCATTCTGACAATTCACAAGACAAAATGGTAGCTACTCCATGAAAAAAATTGTAAACTTACTGGAATAATCAGAGTGGGGTGTGCGTCTTCAAGTTTTCCCTTCAACCAAAGGAAATCTTGATAACGTCTCCTAACTTCAAATTCACTGGAGTCAAATTCCCCCCGAGATGTCTGAAGAAAGGAAGAGAAAATAACAGCACATGTAATATAAGACAGAAGACATTTGCCTAATGCTATTTTAAACATTCTGAAATAAATGGGTCTCTAAGAAAAATTAGCAAATTCTAATTATTCAGTGTTTGTCAGCCTGTACTTTTTTTTGTAGTCATCAATTCACGTAGCAGATGAAACAAAGCAAACTTTCCAGTATTTCCAGAAAGAAAGCAAACATCATGCTCAGATTTAAAATCCAAACTGAAAAGTCTGTCTTGGAGCAACCATCTGCCTTCCACAAGCTTTTAACTACTATTATCTTTGGCACGATTTTCTTGCTAACAAGAAAGTGTGTTCTGAATTTAGGCTTCCAATATCTTTCTTTTCTCAAGATGACTAGAATTCAGAATTTGAGGAAAGTCCTATTTTTGCAATTTGGAAAATAACTTGAACATAACTGCGAAAAAATGTGTTCCTGGAATTTGCTCAAATGAATTGCTCTGCTACAAATTGCTTTTAGTATATGAAAATTCTAACATTTTACAGAGTGATTTTACCACTGTTTTAAAAATGTTATTAATGGAGATTTGATGTGAAAAGAAAATCTTCCTGTCATTTCTCAAGGAATTTTATTTTGAGTTACATGCCTAAACTCCTAAAAATTAAGCAAATACATTAAAATATCTGTTCTCAACAAACCAAAAATCTTTGCCAACACATGACAAGAACATGGGTACAATACCAACCTCACTTCTTTTGCCTGAATCCCAAGCCAAATACAAAAATACATTATCTAATGCACACTCACCTCTCATAAGAAAACAGTCACTCCCACCAATATCTTATTGAACTGAATTTTTGCACACTAAAAATTAGACACAGTAATATTAAGGTTGAGGTTTTCCCGGAGGAGCAAAGATGGAATAACACATTGCATGCATATTTCACACTCTTCAGAAATATCAGTCTCCCACACAGATGAACACAATTGTAAAACTAAGCAGTTCAAGTCCTAAGATGCAATCTTAACTGACATGAAATAAGGCTCACAAAAGCTATATTTTCCAAGGCTTATTTTTTTAAATGAATGCTTAGAATATCATATAATATATCTTAGTAAAACATTCTCTTTTTAAAAGTGGGAAAAAGTAGAGGTAGATGAGATGCAAAGTCTAAGGAACTAAATGTTCACAAAACACTACAGAATCTTTATTATGCAAAATGGTACAAGTTACAGAAAAGGTAAAAACAGAAAAACTAAATCTAGTAGAAACAGTTTCACAATACATAGACGAGTTGGTGTGTATACATATATATACAAATACAGACACACGTATACATACATATGCACGCAAAACATGGTTCAGAGTCACTCATTAAAAAATACTCATTGACCACCTCCATGTTCAGGCACGCGTGTACAGGTTCACTACCAATTTCCAAGAAAATTAATTGGCATAACTTATAATAAAAATATTCAAAAACTGGGCAGTTAAAAATAAGCTTGAGCTTTATATGTTCTCAAGAATTTCCAACAGTTTAAATAAACATAAAATAACCTGATATAAACTTCAGGAAGAAGAAGATATAAAATCAAGTCAAATAACTGGTTGATTTGGTCCTCAGCACTCTGCCATTGACTTAAAAGAGTTCTCTAACACACCGCAAGACAAGAACACAGAGGATGAGTACAAGTCTCAAGGACAGCGTGTGCTTTCTTCCTACTATACGACTTTATCCTACACCTAAAGGGTTGTATAAAAGCTTGTAGATACGTGACAAGGAAAACAAATAGTATCAGCTGCATTCAGATCATAACTAATTTTCCTACAGCAGTGACAGAATCATTAACAATCACCTAAAGTAGACAATTTTGGTCACTAGAAGATAGACAAAAGCCTCTAAACTGGAGGAATAATGGGATTTGATGACAGACCTCCAACTTAGAATGTGTGTTCTAAAAAGTCTTTACATGAGGATATGAGAGGAAAGACCCTAGTTAAATCTCTGAGTTCTTACTTCTATATGCAGTAAGGGAAGGCACATCTCCAGATCTGCAAAAGAGAAAGGACTTTAGAGCAGTCACCTCAGATATTCTAACCTGGAGAATAAAGGGCAATTTCCCATAAGGGGAACAGATGCCAGGAACATGGGCTTCCTGTTACAACTATTTGCAGTCAGGTCATTCTTAAGTATTCCTAAGTAGGAGGTTGTCAGTGTGTATACATGCATATGTAGATGTGTATTTATCCTTATAATCTTAGTGCCCATGAATATAAATTTTTACAAAATTAAAACTTTCCCTGGGAAGGCATCTCTGAACCTCCAAATTAGAGAGGTAATCTATGCTCATAAAATCCTGTAATTTTCTGTCACAGCATTTATAACTATAATTAAACAATTAAACATATAATGTTTAATATCCATCACCCCCCTAGGTTGAAAGCTCCATCAAGGCAGTGGGTATGTCTATCTCGATTGCTGATATAGTTTCACTACACAAGTTCCTGGGGCATAACTGGCATTCAACAAAACTTTATTGAATACATGAATAAATGATGATAAGTGAATAACAAAAAAGACTATGTTTGATAACATATTATACATCTACTAAATGTTTGTATATTTATATCCACAATGCATATTTTAGCATATATAGGTATAGTCTATATACTCGGATGTAGTAAAAATAATTGGAAGGGACTTAGTTCATAATAGTTAAACTGAAAGACAGTTTGCCATAACCATAGAAAGATGTACATAGAAAGATGTACAAAAATATAATAGAAAACATATATACTACGAAAGTAAAGTAAACTGTCTGGATTTAAATTCCAGCTTAGCTAATCACTATGTTGTGTAACCTCTGGCAAGTTATTGAGTTTCAATGTTCTCATTCACAAAATGGGGGTAAATCATAACATTTAGGTCCCAGGATTGTGGTGAGCTTTAAATGAGTTAATATGTAAAAGGAGTTAGGACATTGTCTAGCACAAAGTAGTCAGACAATAAAAGTTAATTAAATACATGTTATATTATCACCATTACTACCACTACTACAAGAGGAGTACATTTAAAGTATGATGTAAGTATGGAGAACTCAAGGGAATTGTATGTCTGTGATCAGAATGAAACCCAGAGTGTGGCTTATAAAGAGTGTCTTTCTGAAAGAAACAAATGATGGGAAAATAATTCAGTTTCACAAATTCTTTGCTAGGAAGGATGATGACAATGGATGATTATAACAGTAAACAGGAGAATTTGGCTCTATTCTCAGCAGTATGTTTGTATGAACATATTAAATATTCACAAAGACCTTAGGAGGTTAGTACGGTTATTTACAAATGAGGAAACTAGGGACAGAGAGGTTAATTAAGTTGCCCAACACACATAGCAAGGAAGGGGAGGAATCAAGATTCAACTCCATGCTGTCTTGCTCTACAACCTATTGACATGACAATGATACTATAAATTTCTTCACTCACTCATTCACCAAAAAGTTAAATTGCTACCTTCTATATCCTACAGATTGTGTTTGGAATTATGGATAACTTAAGTTACAATTACCTTCCTTGAGAAGATCACAGACTTTTGGGAATAAATACAAATAAACACATAATTATCTAGTCACCTACAGGAAAGTGGAAATTACTGAACACTTATTATGGGTCAGACACTTTGATAAGTTTCTTAAATGGATTACCTATCCTAAACCAATTCCTACAGGAACTCTACAAAACCAGATTCTATTATCATTTCAGTTTTATAGATTAAAAAAAAAAACCTGAGGCTTAGAAGGACTAAATATAGGCTTTTAATTTCTTTGCTACACTGATTCTAACGTTTTACATTCTTTAAGAGTTCACCTAGAACAGTATGAGAAAACAGAAGAGGACTTTCAGCCAGCAGGGGCAGGGGTCGGGCATCATTTTGAGTTGTGTCTTGAAAAATAAACAGTAGTTCTTCTGTCTAAGAGGGCAAAGGACATATCAGACAGAGGGAAAAGCATATGCAAAGTCATGAGAGCAAGAAATACCCTAGGATATTCAGATAACAGAATAGTTCTAGATGAGTGGAGAGTAGGGCAATTATAAGTAGGGAATAAGAGAGGAGACTTATATGAGTCTTATCTTATAAGAGATGAGTCTGGTTGGCACCAGACTGAAAAGTTCTTTGTACGCTATACAAAAGAGTTTGCATTTTTTTCTGTAGGAAATGAGGAGCCAAGGAAGGATTTTAAGAATCTGAGTGAAGAGATTAGATGTATACATTTTAATGAAACATAACTAGCAACAGTGTGGAGGTTACAGTGGAAGAAGTGATTACAGGAAGACGTTCCAAAACCTTTTCAGTTACAAAAGAGATATGGGGTGAGGCTTCGTAAACAAAATATTATAACTTATAATTAGAACTCTTAAAAGATGCTATCACATAAAGGACTTAAAAAATTGGTTTTACTAGTTGGTTGTTTTATTCTATCAGAGGTAAACTGTCTTTTTGCAGAGCCTTATCCCAGGAGATGTGGGTTCTAGATCCACTCTGCCCTTGAATTACTGGACAACTAACACTATCTCATATATAAGATAAAGTGGCCACTTGCTGTTATTTGGAAAACAAACGAAATTACTTTTTGTAATCTTTACAAGAAATGGGAATACAAAATATTATATCATGTTTTTAACTAGCTGTATTCTTTATTAGCAAACTGAGGCTCTTCTTTTCCAAAGATATTTCCTAAACTAAAAATTTAAAATCTTCCTATTTTAAAAAGCTCAAAGGCTAAAAAATGAGTGACTGTGACGCAAGTAAATTTGAATTTCACTGATTTCATATAGAACAAGTGAAGGGTAGATAAGATGCAATGTCTTACCCAAAATGGTTGAAAAAATAAAAGTCAACTCAGCTAAGATTCTCTAATGTTAAGAGTTATAGTGAACAATGGGGCAAGCCTGGTGGCACAGCGGTTAAGTGCATACATTCCTCTTCTCGGTGGCCCGGGGTTTGCCAGTTCAGATCCCAGGTGTGGACAGGGCACCACCTGGCAAAAGCCATGCTGTGGCAGGTGTCCCACATATAAAGTAGAAGAAGATGGGCATGGATGTTAGCTCAGGGCCAGTTTTCCTCAACAAAAAGAGGAGGATTGGCAGTAGTTAGCTCAGGGCTAATCTTCCACACACACAAAAAAAGAGATATAGCAAACATGAAACACAACCAAAAGTTCCAAGAGAGAGCAACTGTATTCAAGAAAATGTTCATTAAATATTTACCTTAGTAATAATCCTATATGTAATGAAAGTTTCAACTGTAGTAACATGGCTTTCAGGTTCATCAACTGTAATGAAGAGATCCTTCAAATCTGGCTCATCTTCAAACTTGACTTGGTTTATCATTGATAAAGGGGACGTTGGCATCATAGGACTGAAGGAATTCATGTCCATCAATGAGGCATCCTAAGGAATAAAACATTCAAAAATTAACATCTATAGGGGGCTGGCCCCGTGGCCGAGTGGTTAAGTTCGCGCGCTCTGCTGCAGGCGGCCCAGTGTTTCGTTGGTTCGAGTCCTGGGCGCGGACATGGCACTGCTCGTCAGACCACGCTGAGGTGGCGTCCCACATGCCACAACTAGAAGAACCCACAACGAAGAATACACAACTATGTACCGGGGGGCTTTGGGGAGAAAAAGGAAAAAATAAAATCTTTAAAAAAAAAAAAAGTACTTATCTTTAAAAAAAGAAAAATTAACATCTACAGAAAAAAATAGTTAAAAATCCTCTCTCTTAGGCACCACAAATATTAATGAAATATGTCAAGAACCAAAAGGATAATTGGACTACCAGTTAAATATGGTATATTGAAGATGTATTTTTTATCTCTGCTTCCTCTTAAAATCTCACTTTAAAAATGACAAGAAAGAAACAAAACAAGACAAAAAGGCACAAAAAGGCATAAATCCTCAAGGTAAAAAGAAGAGAGTAAGCAAACAACATCAACTAACTTTTTGGAAACTGGAAATCTGATTGTTGAGTGACTGAAACAGCAGTGCAGAGAAATGAAAAGTAAACCCAGGAGAGAATGATCAACCAGGAAGAAGGCGGCACATTTATGACAGAGAATCCCAGAGAGACGCAAGAATTAGAGGCACTAGAAACCCGCGGACATAGAATGCTGAGGGAGCTAAAACCAGAAGATGGGTTGAAAGCCAATAAAACAAAAAAGAGCTAGTTCCTCAGATTCCCTCACCTACCCTATGTGATCAGCTAACTTTTCCTCCCCAATTTTGCAGAAAACTGGAAATTTACTTTCTAGAGTATCTCTGAACTCAAGGGCACCAGGATAGATGGAGGGAGAGAGAGGCCCTATGAAAATACAGATATCAAGGGAAAGTCCTGCCTACTAGATGGAAAGAGATCCAGTTCTCTATATTTATTTGGCCTCAAGAACGTTGGCAGCAAGGTGCAAACCCCTATACAGTGGTTGGTGTTTTCCTCTATTAGCTGACCATTCCAAGAAAAAACTGACAGCTGTAGTCCCCTAATGAATTAGCCATGTCTCTGCATAATCACCCCACAGTGATTACCACAGAAGCCCTTACCATGCATGCTGAATGTCTACTCAGCTTTTTATCACCTGGTGTAGGAACTACCAAACATCTAAACATGTGGAAAGACTCTGATGTGAAAGAAAGGTTCACAGACAAACTAAGAAAACACAGGAAGCAAATAGAATAGAGAACAGAACACTTAAAAAATAGGTGAAGTCGTCAGAGATAAAAATGATATTAAATTCATGAATACAAACAGGCGTTATATAAAAAAATTTCAGAGAAAAGCAGCAAAACCAAAAAAAAAGGAGGTTGGTGAAAACTGAAATCTAATAGTAGGATAAAAACTCAACAGAAAGTTTGAAAAATAGAACTCAACAACTAAGTTGAACCAAATGAACAAGAGACGAAAAAGGAGAAAGTAAGATTGGCCCTGAGCTAACATCTGTGCCAGTCTTCCTCTATTTTATGTGGGATGCCGCCATAGCGTGGCTTGACGAGCAGTGCTAGGTCCACAGCTGGGATCCAAAAACCTGCTAATCCTGGGCCACCAAAGCAGAGCAAGTGAACTTAACCACTATGCCACTGGGCCAGCCCTGAGAACGTATTTTCAGAAATTAAGGATCCAGGCAGACAGTGCCTGAATAAAAGGAATTTCAGAAAATGAAAAAGAAAAATGTCCTTTGAATTGAAGTGTTTCCAGGTTGATGGTGTAGCAGGCCTTCTCAAAATGAATGGGACAGTGGTAGGGTGGGTAGTTCTCCTATAAGCATCCGTCATGATGACATTTCATAGTAGTAGAGATTTTAAATTCCTAAAAGTTTCCAGAGAGAATAAAAACAGGTAAAATAGGACAGGAATTTCAGGAATCAGAATGGCTTCAGGTTTCTCAATGGTAACACTGGAAATTAAATGACAACAAAATCCTACCTTCAAAATTCGGAGAGGAAAATATTTTCTACCTAGAATTCTATATAGCCAGGCAAATTATCATTCAGGTATACAGGTAGAATAAAGCCATTTCAGACATAAAATATTTCAAACACTGATTTTCCAAGCACTTATTCTTTGGAAGCTTCTTTACTTTTCCAAAATAAAGGCATATATTAAGAAAGAAGAAACAGGATCTAAAAACAGGAGACTCAACAGAAAAGAGAACTAAAAGAAATTCCCTGGATGATAGCGACAGAATGCTCCAGGTGCACCGCCTTCCAGCAGACCTAGAGAACAACCTATGCAGACTGGACCAGGAAGACAGTCTCCAGAAGGAGAGAGATGAAGAGGAAAAAGAACAAAGGAAGAGAGGGAGGAAGGAAGGAGGGATAGAGGGAAAGAGAAAGAAACAGGGAGGGGAGCGAACGAAGGAGGGAAAGAGAAAGGAAGGAAGGAAGGAAGGAGGGAGGTTCATTCTCCCTCCCACCCTCCCTGACAGCATGCCTGATATGTTTAAACATAATGAGAGGAAGCATGCTGGGCTAAATTTTGTAGATGAATTATGAGTGGTGCAAAGAAAGCCAAGAAGGAGAGAAAGCCCGAGAGAGAGGAAAAAAGGGATAGAAAAGAAGAAGGAATGAATGAAAGATGAACTCTCAAGAACACAAAAGGTGTACAAGAATGAAAATGTAATCATAGTTCATGATATGGCTTGACTGCGAATAAAAATAAATTGTTCTTAATCCTGAATTTAATTAAAAATGGTGATATAATCATATTAAGATGATGGGAAGAAAAACATATGTACATGTTGGGGGGGAAGGGGTCAATGACTATAAAATAACTTCAAAAATGCCAATATCATACTAGAAAAAGGAAAATGAGGAGCTGTTCCAGACTGAAGAAGACCAGAGACACAATAGCTAAACACATCATGTGATCTTGAACTGGATTCTGTACCAAAGAGGGAAAACTTTTGTTTTTGCCTGTATTATTGGGAAAATTGGAGAAATTGGTAAGGGTCTGTGGATTAGAATGTAGTAGTGTCAATGTCAATTTCCTGATTTGGGTATTTATACTGTGATTACGTAAGAGAGTGTCCTTGTTTTCAAACAATACACACAAACCTATTTAGGAGTAATAAAACCTCCTGTCTCCAATTTACTCAACTTACACAGAGAGAGAAAGCAAAAGTTGTGAAATGGGGACTGGCCCCGTGGCCGAGTGGTTAAGTTCGCGCGCTCCGCTGCAGGTGGCCCAGCGTTTCGTTGGTTCGAATCCTGGGCACGGACAAACCACGCTGCTCATCAAACCACGCTGAGGTAGGGTCCCACATGCCACAACTAGAAGGACCCACAACGAAGAATATACAACTATGTACCAGGGGCTTTGGGGAGAAAAGGAAAAAAATAAAATCTTAAAAAAAAAAAAAAAGTTGTGAAATGGTAATAATTGGGAAATCTTGGCTCTTTGTGGTATCCTTTCAACTTTTCTCCAAGTTTGAAATTACTTCAAAATAAAAGGTATATTTATAGTTTTCAAAAGTCAAATCATTCTACAAGGCTTAAAATAAAACCAAACAAAAAGCAGCATGCTGTGTTCCGTACAGCTATTACCAGTTGATGCTCCTCAGAAGCAAATTCAGAACTTGGCTGGTTTTGTTCCTTCTTACATTCCTTATTTCAAAATAACATATATATTGCTTTTTATTTTTCAATTTCAATATTATCAGTAGGTTCCCTACTAAGGAGGATGAAGAGTATTTATTTACTCAATTAATTATGTGAGTATAGACTCTCAGATTCCTATTTTACTCGATGGGTTAGAATCCATTAATATCATAATTTATTTTGATGTTCTAAGTGTCCAAAACCTGTCTAGTGGGAGCCCGTTAAAGCTAGCACCTGTGTGTTTTTGATATGTCTTCATCATTCCTTAAGCACTTTACATTCTGGTATAACAAGATGTTTCAGGTTTATCTTATATTTTCCCTGCCCCAGGCATGGAAACAGACATTTCTCCAGGAAGCTCTGGTTCCTTTTAGAGGAGACTGGTATTTAGCAACCAAGATATGAATGCTAGGAAATATACATATAAGATAAACATATGTACATACACACACCTCTAGGTCTGTACAGATAGACATTAAACGCCATGAGTTCACACTGATACCTCCAATTATAAATTGACACTACATGGTTTATTCCAGCATTCTACCTTTCCAGGTTTGTAACTCTTTTCTCCAGCAGAGAGAAGCCTGGCTCCCATTATCCTGAATATATTTACTTAATTGCTCAACTCCCCTGTAGGCAACTAATCTCGGACCATGCCAGCTGCTTCCTCAGCCCTGACCACATAGGCCAAGGCAGCCTTATTCTCATTCCCAGCCACAATGGATCTCTCCTCAGCCCCTATGTCCACTGGCCACTTCCCAGCACACACGGGTTGTTTCCTCAGGCATCTTCAATATAGTTTGTTTTCAAATAAAGGGAAGGGAAGGGCTACACATTATTTTGAAACAAAAATTTAAAAATGAAATACAAGTAATGTTTCATTCACATACGAAGATAAAACTAACACTGTCCATGTTAAATCTGAGGTATTTCTTCAGTAGTAGTAATGACTTTTCTCTAACTCTATACTTTCTCTTTTAGATACCTTTTTTCTCCCAAAGTAAGAATATACATGCTAGCATCGAAAATTTTCTCTGTTCTTGAGAAAAGACTAAACTTACTGACACTTTGAGAGGTTAATTCTGCAACACAGCCCATCTTAGCTTAGCAACAGAGTTGGGTCAGTCCCGAATGAGAAAATCATTACAAAGCATGCCAAGACCTGGGTTCTAGTCCTGGTCTTCACCATGGACTAAGGATGTAATCTTGAACAATTAACAGCCTTTCTAGGATAAATTAAGGAGATGGACATGAAAATCTCTAAAATCTCTACCAGCTCAAAGGCTATTCATATAGTATTCC